ACGTGATGCCGCACTGGCCCATGGTGCCGGCGGCCGCGGAGGCCCCGAGCGAGGCGGCAATGGCGGCTGCGCTCCCCGCAGCCCCCGCGCCGGCGCGCAGCCCCGACCCCAGCGAGCGCCGCGCTCCTCCGCGCAGCCGCCGCAGTGCCCTCGGGTCCCCCGCGCCGCTCCCTAGCAACCGAGGCCCGCCCCTCGCGCCCCGCTGACGGCCGCCTCAGCCAATCACCCTTGCGGAGGCTGCCGTGAGGCCACTCCTCTTAAAGGAGCCGAAGGCTCAGCGCCTTCTCTTGGCCTTTGACCGCCCTTGGGTGCAGATGTCTCTTAAGGGAGATTTGGTGGACCAAACCCACGCCCCTCCTGTTATGTTTACTATGCCAGCCTTGTAGATGATTCAGAGCCCGCGACGCGCTGTCTTTCTACCTAGCCCACCCTGTCCTAGGAAAGTCGGAGACATTACCTCTCCCAATCTACATGGAGAATTTCCTGACCAGGTAATAACCAGGGAGCGCTGTTAGTGCAGCGAACATCAACAAATGCCTTGAAGAACTTGTGCCAGACGCTGGACTATCAGAAGGGAGGAAAGGCGGGGGGTGGGGTTGGCAAGAGGTATGCTCGTGTGGGTTAGTGGCTGGGAGCAGGGTCTATTCCAGGAGAGTACATTTTGGACCAAGACTCACAACGATGAAACATCTTTTTACATTCAACACTTCACATTCTTCTTCCTGGATTCATCACAGCAGTGAGCAATGACTGAGCGCTTACCCCCCGTACCAGGCTCTATTAGTTCATTTAACCCCCACAGCTTAGAGGGAAGATGCTATGGTTCTGAGCCTTATTTTATTGATGGAGTGATTGAGACTTGGAAAGGTTAAGAAACTTATTCAGAGTCACACAGAGTAGAAGATCCAGTGCAGAAGCATATTCTCAGCCACACGCTAAACTACCTTCTTTCACTCTTTTCTGCCATTGCAATCTTGCACTCCCTCTTTGATTGGATTTTTTTTTTTTTTTTTTTTTTTT